ACGCTTCTCGCGGCTGGCAGTTAGCTATAGCTATAGCTATAGCGAAAGAAAGAGAGCGGTTATATATGTCCGTCTCTCTCTACTGCTCGAAGCTGGCCGAAGCGCCGAGCGCACGGCTGTTCGCCTGTGTGCGTATCCCCTCCACTTGCTGTTGCATGTTGCTAGCGTCCGCAAACTGGCATCTCTGCTTGCGAGCTGCGCTACGCAACCCCGCGGCCTGATTGGCCCACGCGACCTACCCCACGCGACCCCATACGCGGCGTATCGACCGCTTATCGATCCCGATGCAGAGATGCCAGTTTGCAGACGCTAGCAACATGTAGCAGCAAGTAGAGGGGACACGCAGACAAGCGAGCAGCCACTCGCCAAGGCGCTGAGTGCACACATACACGGCTGTTCGCCTGTGTGCGTTTCGTCTGTGTAATCCCTCTACTTGCTGAGCATGCTGCTAGCGTCCGCAAACTGGCATCTCTGTCCCGATGATCGCTCTCTTAGTCGCGAACTCTTGTGTACGGCGGACGTGATTACCGGGCTCCCGTATCGTATTGTCCCGCGAGTAAATTGTGGTGCCCAGATCCGAGCAGCTGTGTCGCTGAAGACGACGTACGGTAAGATGCCCGTTCATACTGTTAGCCACGAATCAGCGTTACTCGGGCCTCGTGTCGAGGCTAGTCGCTGTATTTCGCGTGTTGTTCCGGCGGCAAGGTCACGTCCTTCGCCAGTGTTTCGATTTTTCGACACCGGCTAGAATCGGGCCTCACGGAGCTTCGTGGTCAAGGTTTGTTGGATAATCGCGTAGGATTGTTTGCTCTATTGAGCCCAGTCAAGCCCTGGAGTGGCAATGTCGCTCCAAGCAGCATTTTCGTGCCGCGTTGTTTTCTTTTTTTTGTTAAGTGGTAGTGTTCGTTGTGTGTGTGTGCCGTGATTATTGTAGCGTGCTGCTCGCGTACCGTCGGCTATCGTCCACCGACGGTAATCAGCTGATGCGAAAACAAATATCCTAGCAAAATCGGATATTCTCGCGCGATCGGCCGGAATGAGGTGTGTGCGAGTCGGAAGCGGCGTAGATCCGAAGCAAATACCGTATCGATTTAAAGTACGCCTTAAGTGTCATTGCGGGCGGTGAATCTCCGGGACAATTATCGCTGATAAATTCGCGAACGTACGATGAATGCGTGTCGCATTTTAGCGTGTATAATTTGTCCAGGATAATTCGCGGCTAAGTAACATATCGTACCGCCTATCTTCCGAGCCTCGAGACAACGAGTGTCGCTAATCTTCTCAGAATAGTCGAAAAACAAAATCAAGCCCCCGACCTCGCGCCCGCTTCGCTCCTCACGGCGAGTATTTTGTAAGTGCATGAACGTCGACTCATAGTTCGGCTCAGAATTATCTGCGTGCTCAGGGACATCAAAACCGGCGAAAGTTGCGTGGCGAATCGACCAGTTCGACCAAATCGCGACCATCGGCGAAACAAGTAAGTCCAAGTCGATTTGCGGCTTGTAAAGAGTCTGCTACCCGCTAATTTATCCTGGCATATTGCTTGCAACATACACCTGCTTGAGCCCTCTCGCCTGCTTAGCCTGCGTCTAGCCTCACCCTTGGCTATCGCTTCTTTCCCGTGCCTGTAACTGCGATCTTCCAGCCGAATGTAATTATTAAAATCCCCCGTTCAGCACTTTTGCGGTATCGTTCCGATTAAATCAGTTATCTCGTGGATTAGCATGATTCGGTTTGTTATTTGTCGCAACACGTTGTTTGTTCTGTATCTTTTCTTTTATATTATTTTGTATTATCCGTTCTTATTTTATTCTTATTTCTTTTATATCACACACACATTTTGTATTACATTTTCTTCTATTACTCTTTATATTATTTCTTTTATATCATTTTGTATTTTAATTTTTCTGAACTGGCTAACTTCGACTCGTACAATAAATTGTTAATTTATTCTGTTTAACTCTGATTTTCTCTTATTATCTGAGCCTTCATATCGCGAGAGTAAGGGACAGTCTGCATTACGAATTTTTATTAAACCCAGCCCCTCTCCGTTCAAATAGAGCTAGTCGGCCCGTTGTATCGAGCGACGCAGATTTTTGACGCGGTCACGCGTCTGGCGCCCTAAATTACACCCAAGTATTCGTCGATTCGGCCCGGCAGTGCTCGTTTTGAATATCTTTTCTATCCTGCCCGTGATTCGACGTTGCCTTTTCGCGGACGCTCACCCAAGTCCCGTGAAAGAAACTTCGTTTGCGGGGGAGCGGCGCGAGAATTACGTTCTAACATAAAAAAAAACGTCACAATATCTATTATTTATTACTATCATTTATCATTAATGTATATGTAAATCTGTATTCAACATTTAGAAAGTGTAACTGGTTGTATATTGATATAGTCTTTACACGAACGTTACAATTTTCTTTTGCCATTTTTATTATATTTTATGTTATTATACAGGATGTTTCTTCTTACTCAATCATTTAAAATATTTTTGTTGTTTGTAATGATTACGAAACAATACCAAACATACAAGTTGTTTGATTTGAAGGAGCACATATTATGATTTGTTCTTTTGTGAACATCACTAGGGTAGTGACAATATGCCATCCCACTTAAACAAGTAGCAATGACTATAAAATATGACTTTGAGAAAAATGAGTTGCATATATGTGCATAATATTTGCCCTTTCGAATTGTACTTTTTCAGTTAGTATTTTTTCGTATCATTACAAACACCAAAGATATTTTAAATGAACAAGTTAGAGGAAATATCCTTTATATATGTATATATATATACAGGGTGTCACATGAAGACCGTATCACCGCTCATAAGCAGGTAGAAGGGATTATTCTGAGTCGAAAAGTCCTGAACCATTTTTTTCTATTACGTATGATAAAGGAGTAATTATTGAATAAAGTAAGCCAATCAGCGCCAACCTTTAGCCGAACGCACGTCAGTGAACCACGCGCCTGATATGCGTGAGTGCTTCGTGCGGCTCACTGACGTGCGCCCGGCTAAAGGTCGGCGCTGATTGGCTTACTTTATTCAATAATTACTCCTTTATCATACGTAATAGAAAAAATTTCAGGACTTTTCGACTCAGAATAATCCCTTCTATCTACCTACGAGCGGTGATACGGTCTTCATGTGACACCCTGTATATACATATGTATATAGAAATATGAAAACACAAAATAATAGTACATACTCCAGAGGATCGTCCAATATTGTACCAGAGAAAAACAAAGAAGTCCATAAAAAGCGACAATTTGAACGAACGTTAGTAAAATAACATTTGACCACACAAAATTCCATTTATATTGGTTTGGTGATTTTCTTCCCAAGTTGCTCATAGTCTCTTCAGCTTTTATTTCGGACAATACAGATTTCGATGTCATGTTGCACAGATCTAAACGATACGAGATCTAACCGATGAGTTCTAGAAATGAAATAGCACGCAATATGTAAAAATAGTAGAGACACAAATAGACCAATTATTTTTATGAAACACAGTATTTACTCAACAACAATTATAAAATTCTTAATCGAGCGCTAAAAATTTCTTTCTAAAACCTAATTCAAGCAAAAGTATTTATTGGTACACTACAGCAACTACAACATTATCATATTCGTAAAAAATTTTCCAAATGTATTACAATTATACAACGTTATTATATGTTATATATTATACATTATAATATATTGTATATGTTGTATACGCATGATATGTATTATAGTAAATCAAGAGGTAGGTGCCTCGCTAAATTCACGCGCAACAAAGGTGGCGCTCGAATTGCGCGAGCATCTTCTTCTTCTTTGCATATATAGCTCACGCCCCTGCGAGAGAGGAGCAAACGCGGATTCCGTTCTGAGACTGCGCACGAGCTACATCTCCTGTGTATCCCAGTCCTGTTTTAACTTCCTGTGCCTTGTTCTGAGTTACTTATACATAGCGAAATCATTCGGATTTTCTGTTGTAAGTAAAGCTCAGGCCTTTGGAGTCTAAGTTCTCCTCTATATCTGTCGTTTTCACGACAACGGCGGTGTTACGGTCTAACGACCTGTGGATTCAACCACGCGGACGCCATCTTGCCTTACTTTCAAAGTGAAATTGAAACCTTTTGTGCGATTAAAATCTCTAACCAGGTTTAATTGCTTCTCAAACTTTACTCGCGTGTTAGTGCAGTGCATTTTAGACACAGTGAAACACGTTTCGAGTCGGGAGTACGAGGATGATCAACGAAACGGTCGAAGTAGTCATGTCAGAGACGGGCTTCCCGCCAGAAGAAAACATAACCCCCACTCCTAACAGCCACGTCCCTGGGCCTGCTGCAGTGCCAGGTAATGACCGCGGGACACGTAGTGTGTCCCTGGTTAATTCCCCGTCTTGCTCTTTCGTCCCCACGGAGCCCGTGAGGACAAGTTCATCGAAGAAGAGGGGTGGCGTTGGTCCAACTCCCCCCCTCAAGCGTACATTCTCAGCGATGTCTAGTGTACAAAGGCAGCTCGTACTCAATAGATACCATAAAGATTCCAAGGGCCCTTTTATGGTACACATCGAAACATGCCGTCCACAATCCTCCTCTACAGGAGAGGATGGCCCTGAGAAAGAACGTAACACAGGTAAAAAAAGAACCTCGCTTAGCGCCATTGGCCTGGGCAAGAGGCTCAATCGTCTTCTTTTAAACCAGTTTTTACTTGCTTTTGACTTACGTATGATCGGCAGAAATAAGTTTTCGGTCTGCTTCCCCACAGGTAATGATGCTAATCGATTTGTCGAGGCCTTCCGGGAAGTCGCTGATAGAGTAACCCCTTGCGAACAATGGACAGCGCATGTCCCGTTCAGGGTGGTCAAGCAGTTTGTTTTGAAAGGTGTTGACGAGGAGGAAACTGTCGAGGAGTTGTTGGGCGGTCTTTGCCCCCCCCCCCGGGTGGGGCCAAGAGTGGTTTCCTCCTTTCGAGGCTGTCAGAATCACTCGCAAGGAAAAAGGAAGCGCCATCTCCAGCCCTAGGTATGTAAACACAAACCAACTCATCCTAAGGTTCCACACCCCTGTGGTCTCTCCGTCTTGCTTGTATGTAGGGAAACGTCTTTCCCTAACACCTTACGTGTATAAGGTTAGACGTTGCGAGTTCTGCCAAAGGTTCGGACACACCGCTCATTTCTGTAAACAGTCCGGCGACGAAAGACGCAGGTTCTGCGAAAAGTGTGGCAAGTCGGGCCACTCTAAACCCAATTGCCCGAATATTCTGGACGAATGCATAAATTGCATCTGTTTCAAGGCCGGAAACACTAACCATCAGTCCTCAGAACTCCGTTGCCTCGTTTTCCAGAGACAACGTGAGATACATAAAATTATGGCTTATAGAGATCTCTCCTTCCGTGATGCGGCTAGTCTGTATGACGAAGGAAATACCCTTTCTGGACTGAACTCTAACCTGTCCAATATTTCAGTCCCACTCCCCACTTCTAACCTCTCCTATGCTGAGATTACCTCTCTAGAGCCTCCTCTCCCCTTAGTACGTTTCTCCCACCTGTGTGGAGAAACAACGGAGGAAGAGTAACCTCCTCCTCCTCCTCCTCCTCAAACAAAAGATCTTCCATTAATCACTCTCTCATAGACTCCATCGCTCAGAAAATGTCTTCTGGCAATAACTCAACTGAAGAGGAACCTTCCAAACCCTCTTCGGATAAAGAGTACCTCATCGATGCCTTTCAGAAATTAAAAGTTACTCCTAACATAAACCCATCGCAGCTTAGTAACACAGACATGACAAATATTGTTACAGAACTACAAAAGTACCTATATGGTATTCAAGAATCGTAGAATTATTTTACGTACGTTACTAAGTGTATAACAACATGAAGTCTCTTACTGTAGTCCAGTGGAATTGCAGATCTTTGGTTCGCAACCTTGACGCGGCCCGTCTGCTACTCCGAGACTGCAACGCTGAGGTAGCAACCTTCTGCGAAACACACCTCGATGGTAACTCCATAATCACCCTACCTAATCATGAAATCGTGTCACACGATCGCAACCGTAGGAGTGGTGGAGTTGCCATCGCTATAGCAAAACACATTAAATTCCGCGTTCCGGAAATTCCACAGCTAGTAGATTTATGCAATGAAAACTGCGTTGAACTCGCAGTTGTTGAACTGTTCCTCCCGAATTCTCAAACCCTTTATGTTTTCTCGCTGTATAGTCCTCCTAGATCTTCTACAAACTATACGGCTCCTTGCTTTTGGCAAAATTTCTTCCATTTAAGCTCCAATCTCCAACCAGCGGTTATTTGTGGTGACTTTAATGGGAAAAGTCCTCTGTGGTGCAATACTCACCCTCTCTCTAATAGAGAAGGGAAAAACTTAGAGCATGCGCTAGTCAATTCTCTCTGGGTAGTTCTTAACGATGGTAGCAACACATGGTCCTCCGCAGACCTTTCTAGGTCCTCTGCGATAGACCTCACCATATTTTCTGACGTACTTGCCCTCCTTTGTACCTGGAACGTGTGCGACTTCCACTATGGTAGTGACCACTTCCCAATAATCACCGCTATCACTGACAGGTTCTCCGGTCGCATCCTTTGCCGGCCCTACTATTCTGTAAAACAAGTGTGTTGGAAAGAGTTTCAATCCAAGTGCCAAGAAGAGGTGGACACTCTCCCTCCACTGGACCCTTCAGGAGATGCAATTCTTGCTTATTCTAAGCTTGTGAACCTTGTTGACAACTCCCTTCTACAGTCAGGAGCTACTCGTACAACCTCCTCAAGAGCCTCTAGAAAACCTCCCACTCCTTGGTGGGATGCCTCCTGCTCGGACATTTACGCCCGCAAGAGGGCCGCGTTTGCTCAATTTTGTTCACATCCTAACATAGACAACTTAGACAACTACTGTCGAGTTGCAAATGAGGTATCTAAAGCCCTAGGAAAAAGAAACGCCAAGCCTTTCGCAAATATTGCAGCTCTCTACACGCCAACTCAGACATTGGGTCTGTGTGGAGTACTGTCAAGGCTTTCTCTTGCGCTCGTAACAAGCCAAGAGATGAAGGCAATAAAAACTGTCTTGACTTGGAGGGTTTCCGGAAAGCTTTTGACAAAATCGCTTCCGTTGACCACCTCCCTCCTGATCATTCCAACCTTCTTGAGACACTAAACCCTTTAAACTCCAACCTCAGCAACGACTACCTGGATAGCCAGATTACACCCGCAGAGTACTTCTCGGTGATAAAGTCACTTAAGATTCGGTCAGCCCCTGGTCCTGACCTTATCACGAACCTCATTATTTCACAGTTCCCACTAGTGCTTCATATGTATATAATCAAACTTCTTAACTTAATGTTTTGCAAGCAGATTTATCCACCCTCGTGGAGAGACTATTTCGTCATCTTTATCCCAAAGCCGGGACGCAAGGGCGCTTATAGACCAATATCTTTGGCTAGCAACCTTCTCAAAGTCATGGAGAAGGTTATGTGTCGTCGACTGGAGTGGTGGATCGAGAAAAATAATATTCTCTCTCCACATCAGTTTGGTTTCAGACGCGGACTCTCTTGCACAGACAACCTAACCACGCTAGTGTCTAGCATCAAGATCGCTAATAACTCTCGTCAAGTAACCGGTGCCGTGTTTCTTGACATTGAAGGAGCTTTCGACAATGTCGTGCCTGACACACTGCTGACCATGTTGCCTTCTTTTGGGGTTCCCCCCAAAATGCTAGCGTTCCTGGCCTCAGTGGTGAGTTTCAGAAGGTTGCAAGGGTATGCTTCTGGCACTTACATTCAGACCCGCAATACAAGTCGAGGGCTTCCTCAAGGATCTGTTTTAAGTCCCATACTATTTAACATCTATGTGTCACGGGTTGAGTCCTGCCTACCCGCAGGTGTCAAAGCCCTCGTGTACGCCGACGACGTAGTAATCTTCTGCTCCAACCCCTCAGTGTCAGACGTCGCTCAGAGACTGAACACGGCCCTAGATCGAGTTCAGTCCCACTTAACGTCTCTCGGTCTTCGAGTCTCTCTCAATAAGTCCGTGGCCACCTTCTACTCACTCTGCCCTCTAAGAAATATGAAGTGGCTTTTGAATAAGAAAAGAATTAGTATCCACATAAGCGGGGTTGAAATAAACATAGAGTGGACAGTAAGGTTCCTCGGAGTTCACATAGATTACTCTCTCTCGTGGAAAAAACATGTTGCTGAAACAAAGAAAAGGGTCCTTCCTCGCATTAACATCCTTAAAGTTCTGGCAGGGA